TTGGGAAGCCCGAGCCTGCGGCCGCCTGCCCATGGTGGGAGTTGGGAAACGGGGCTGCCTGGCCCCGCGGCTCCCCTGACCCTGCAGCCACCTCCCAAGCCCCAGAGGATGGGGAAAAACAGGACAACGGCTGGAAAGAGCTCAGCAGTGATTAACATTGAACCCAACGGTCCGTGATAGCACCGCAGCAGAAGCCGCTCAGTGAAACGGCCCCCGCTCGACTCCCCTCGTTCTGCGTCGAGGTGCCCAGGCCGGCGCTGCCCGTCCGCCCCGAGCTGAGGCCGCTTCCCCACGGCTAAGGCTGGATGCGCCGCAGGCTCATGGAGCAGCCCAGGGCAAGGCCGGAGATCCCATCCTGGAAAACAGACCTAGAAGGGATTGGGGGGGAATTTTACTTGCATTCCGATTTTGCTTATTTTGTTAACACAGTTTAATAGAGGCACACAATAAAAGCTGCATTCTAATACCTTGGCACGATGCTTTCCCTTTTCCTAAGCATTGTGCATTGCAGGAAGAGGGCGGTTGATGTCCTGAGTGCACCAGTGGAGCTGGAACGCTGCAGCGTGAGGCCGGGCACCCGCGAGCAGCGGGTTGGGACCTTGACCCCGCGTCCAGTCGGGCGCTGAGGTCGGAGCCCGGCCTTGGAGGAGAGTTATTTTATACCCTTGGCAGCCACCGCTGGCAGCAGGGGACACAGGAGTCCCAGGGACCCAAGAGGGCGGTGAACACTAAACGATGCTCCCTGATCCAAGGCCTTCCGCAGCGCCCGTTCCCGGGAATAGGGAGCTCCGGATCCGCTGTGCAAGGGCCAGCCAAGGCCTCGGAGCGGGAGCCAGGGGGCCCTCGGGCCAGCAGGGCAAAACCTGGGCCCTCAGTGCCCCTCTGCAGCAGCCTCCAGGACAAGGGCACTTTTACTGTAAAAACTATTCATTTATTCAACATAAAATATCTAGTGTGGAATTAAACTATCCAATGTTGCGTCAGGAACATAAGAACAAAAGGAGTATTTTACAACAAGCTTCATATACACAAAGTCTTTAACATTAAAATGTACCCAGCTTAGAAACTGTACATTCAAACACGAGGAAACATTCAGCGTTCTTCCAGCAAGCAGGTAGGAATACGGAATCATCCCGTCAAAGCGCACGTGGAGAAGTACTGTTCCCACAACAGCTTGGCACATTAATGTATTGGACAGTTAACAAGTCTCTGAATCACACAGTTCTGTTGGCTCTTAATTTTAATTCAAAATTACCTCTCTTTAGTGTTTTAAGTGAAGCTACTGTAGTAATTCCTTCATCAGTGAAAAATACTCAGTGTAAAACAATCTTTGGAAGCTGATGATATACACAACGGTGTTGCCATATTAATAAAATAGGACTTGGGAGTATTTCTAGGCTCTTGCCATCAGGCAAGTGTTCAGCTTTTTCAGTGAAAGCTCCAAAACCTCCTTCCATTCCTGATCATTTCCAGGACTTGCCAAACCCGACCGTGGGCTCTGCCTCTCAAGCAGCCCCGGGGGCTCCTAGGGATTTTGGGAATGCGGGATCAGCTGCCGAGGGCTCCTTGCCGCCCTCCTCAACTCAGTGGATCCAGAGCCCATGGATGTCATTGGAAAACTCGGACTCCAGGGAGCTTTGGATCATCCTTTAGGCATCGCTGTCTTTACATCAAAAGCCCAGAATATGAAGCTGTCTCAGCAGGACCGAGCTTGGCATTCATAGCGTTATATATATATTTAAATGCAGAATTCATATAAAGTGAAAGGCAAAAATGCCTTCCATTTTCTCTTTTAATACTGTAAATGTCACAGGTTAAAACCAAATTACTCAACAGGATGAAAAGGTTTTGCATTACATAAAATATTTCCCAGGTAGATATCTATTTGAAGTATACATACGTGCTAATTTATTAGATATATCTACCTCAGCTGAAACTCTGAATGCAGACTTTGAAGGCCATTGCAATGCAGTCCTTAAACTGTTGAATAAAAATGAAAAATAATTTTAAAAGGGAGCAATATGAGCTGGACACTGGAAAAGCAGAATTTGGATGGCAGGTGCTCGGTAACAGACACACGCAGCAGCGGGGCTGTGACGTGCACGGGGTTCCTGCACTTGATCTTCCCCCTCTCCCGGCCTTCCCGGAGCTTCTGCACACGGGGCAGAGCCCAGAGGTAACGAAACCAGCCCAGGGCTGCAGCGTCACCAGCCACCCGGAGCTGGGATCCCCTGTGGAGCCCCGTTACACTTCCATATTCTGTGAAAACGAAATATTTGCCCATTTCAGCTGCTTCTGCAATCACCAGCATAAGGCAGCAGACACACAAACAATTCCAGTGCCTTGTCAAAACATAATTTTCCCCCCAGAAGACACCCACGCGCACAACACTAACAATCTCTTTGGCCTTTTTTGTTAGTCTGAGGTTCCTCGGGCTCTTTAAGGAACCATCCACTTGTCCCTTTCCTTCCCAACACCTTGGATAGCACATTCCATACTGCACTACAGTGTCACAAATCCCGAGTGAAAGTTGAACCCTGACTGTGCTCATTAGTTGTGCACAAACACGGACTATGGACTCAGTGACCTACTCCAGCCCCAGAGAAAGGGACCTGCTTCCCAGCATACCTTAAATATTTTACAGTGCAAATTTGTTGCACTCTTCCCTATGTTTAGGTGAGACAACTGACCACACGTATTACTGAAAGTGTATTGCTTCCCGCAGCTTGGTGATTAGCATTTAGTCCATCTCACTTGCATTTGGTTGTGTTCCATAGTTCGGATTCCTGAAAATAAACCGAGACACATGGTTGAGGAACGTCTCCGTTTCCTCCCCGCGTGTCCACAGACTCTGCAACCTGACAGCTCCCTGCCAAGCAAGAAGTCCACACACACACGGAGCGTTATCCTCACCTGAACTCCGCTACCTCTGCCAGCAAGAGCAGAGGTACCAAAGCTCCTCCAGGTGTGGAGGAGCAACGATGCTCATTGAGGGCGATCGTGGTGCGGCTCTTCCCGGGATTCCTGTTTGTTTATGGCGCGATCCCAGGCACATTCCCACGTTGCCAGCTTGGCCTCGCAGTCACTATGATCTGCAGCTACTGGAGAGTCCTCCCCGCTGCCGGTCGGAGAGACGCGAAGGCGGCTCCATCCGAACGCCACGAGCAGCCGCTCGGATGGAGGCCGGGTTTGTGTCAGTTGTGGCTGCACCGCTGCAGAACACACGTAGGGGACGGAGCAGACACGTCTGGATCCACACGGAGAACCACGGCGTGCATCTCCACACACAGAGCACAGGGCGGCCCAAGCGATCCTCACCAAGCAACACGGGAGCGCTCCGTGTTTCTGGCAACGTTAGAGAAGTCAAACTCTGCTCCAAACCACTAGCATTTACACTTCTTACACAGCATTCCATCCTTGCAGCAAATACCACTCTTCTGATGCAAACTACCTGCCTTGGATGGGAGAAACATTCAGAAAACAGGCTCCAAGCAATCTCTTTTACAGTGCCTTAGTTCCCAAGGAACAGAGCTCATAAGCAAGGGAACTATAAAGCGGTGGTTGTTGCTGTTATCACATTTCCTTGTGGTGCTAAAAAGTGCAAGGCAGGTATCTAATTCATAAAATCTATCCTGTAGTGTATGGAATCCACCGTGTTCAATGCCAGGTACACAATGATATTAATCTTTTGCTTTTAGGCATCAAGAGTGCATTATTTTAATTACAGCTTATACTGAGTTGCATTCAGTTAGCTATTTGCTTGACACGGGACATTTTTAAGCCGAATAGCTGACCATGCAAGCACAACAGACTTAAAAACCCTTCCTGCTAAACTTGAAATGATATCTGGATCAAACGCCTCAATACAGAAATATATTTTTTTTATGAGCGTGAGCAAAGAGCAGTCGAAACACAACTTGCTTCGGTTCGACCCCAAGTTCCTGCAGTTCGGGACATGGCAGTGACAGTGACGGTGTGATCCGCTTCCCACGGCCCAGGGCTTGGTGTTCTGGGAAACATCCTGCTGCATCGGCCGTTCTTCCCGCAGGGCTTCACGTCCCGTCATTCCTGCGAGCCGGAGTCCGACCTGGGGACCCCAGGGGAATGAGATCCTCTCCCGACCATCTCCTGGCCCCATTCCCTGTGGCTGGACTCCTGCAGGCCCCGGCCTTTGGTTTCGATGGGCAGGAAGCAGGAGGCCACGGCTGCCAGCAGGCAGCACCCGCTGTAAACCGCCAGCGTCAGGTACACAGAAGATTCCAGCATCACCTGCGGAAGGAGAACGGCAGGGAACGCCAAAGAGGGCCCTTGAGTCCATCACAGGGAAAAGAACAAAAATACCCCCACAAATACTAACGTACTGGCAGAAATTTGAGCTATCCTATTGGAAAAAAATGGCTAACATCCATTGCTGTGTACTTTTTTCCTCCTCAAAGATTACACATAGCTTTAAACACTAATAAAATATCCTAGACAACAGGTGCCATTGATGCTGTTGCTCTTATGTGTTAGACAAGGCTTAAGGAAGCAGTTCAGGAGTCCTGGAAAGAGCCCGTGTCTGGATTAGGCATTTCTGGATCCTTCTCCATGAGTCTCTTCCTAAAGAGTTAGGCAAGAGCAATTTTCTGTCAATGCAGCAAGACCTTCCTTAACCTGAATTGTGCTCTCTCCTCTGCCTAAGATTTTTCTTCCTAAATTCAATTTTCCTTTGCATTGTTTTTCACAATATCCTTTCCTACCACCCACATTTTTGACTGATTTATAAGATGTAAGCCTTCTATCTGGCTCTTCCTGCCTACCCTTAAGGTTTTTAGCCCCCAGGATCTGTTACCTTCCATCACCTTCCTGCACCAACAGTCTCCAGAGGAGAGGAATTTTTACCTGTGCAATGAACGGGGTTATGAGGGCTCCCACTCTGGCCATGCCACTGCAAGACCCCAGGCCCAAAGCACGAGTGGCTGTTGGATAAACCTGCAAACAAAACATCAGCCCATTAATCCTAAGGAAAAACCTTCTCCTCTGCCCTCCAACCTCCTAAATGAACGGATATCACTGAGTGGTACTACCAAAAGCTCTACTAGACAATTACAATGAGGCCAGAACTTACATCCAGGGTTAGGTCCATTTTGAAGACACCATAAAAATGACTTTCCAACCATGTTCTCACACCCCTTAAATATTCTCATTACAAGAACAACCTCCTTACCTCTGGAGTGTAAACATAAGCAGCCTGGAATCCTCCTGAAATAAAAGCTCTCGCAATGAAGAGCAGCACAGTAAGAACATTTCTGTGAGAATAAAAAGGAGAGCAGTGTTTGGGATTGTTCTACACAATCTGTTTGCTCAACTTGGAGGCAAATGCAATAAGGAAGCTACATTTTGTTAGTCTTTTTTATTTTTTTAAATAAACACTTGGTATTTTTTTCTGGACCTTTAATATGGCAATGATGCCAAACAACCTGTATTCCCACAAACACATCAGTTTTCCAGGTGTACTCACCCTAACTGACAGTGGCCCACTGAAATAAACAGCATATACCTAAGATAAGAGTGGTGCTAGTAGAAAACAGCTTTACATTAGAAAGCCTCTCTTATTTCCCCCCCCCCCCAAGTTGTTCTTTATTCAAAATTATAGAATAGAGAAGATTTCTGCTCCCCTGTTTCTTTAGTTTCCTTACAGCTCTGGTGACAGAACCTAACAGCATCCTCTATTCTTTGTTTCCAGTAGAACATGACCAGCTGCTGGTTTTTCAAATCACCACTTTCAGTCTTCCTGCCACAAGCAATGGGGAAGATGGATCAATCAACAGCAGTTGTTAATTGTCTTTGACTTACCTTCCAACACAGAGGAACAGCAGAAGGCTGCAAAATGAGAAGACAAGAAAGGACAGAGCCATGGTTTTCTTGCGGCCTATCCGATCGATAATCCAGAGCGTTACTAACACACCTATGGAAGGAGACAAATTAATTTCTGGGAATCAAGCCATCCATGGATTAAAACTTCAATTGCTACCCTTCCTCTGAAGGCCTGACGTGTTGCTTGGATAGAAGCTGTAGGCAGATGGGCTGCTATAGCTCCACAAAACAACTACCAGTGGTTTTATCTGTAAGGATCACATGGGCAGTGAAAAGAGCTACAGCTGCTGCTTGTTGGGGCTCAACAAATGTATTGGGATCCACCTACCAGGCAGCCCAAGCAAGAAGCCCCAAGGCTGCAGGAAAAACACTGGCATTAGGAGAGAAGAGAGCACGTTTTATTGCCTGTACTGGTGTCCACTGCGATCATCCTGAGCTGCTGGCAATGAAGCACAGGTGCCTCTTATTGCCACTTACCTGGGAACTCTGACAGGGTTGTCCAGAGCAGATCAGTGTAATCCTCCTCTGTCAGATACTCACAGGTCAGGCTGCACTTTGCTTTAACTGCTTTCCTTTTACTGGAAACTGTAAGAGAGAAAAAATAAATAAATAAACATATTTTGAATAATGTCTGCTCTGCTTACCTTCCTCTGCTCCTGCTGTGCTTTTGTTAGTTTGCTGCTGCAACTGACAGAACAGATGTACTTAAAAGACACTGCTGCACAGCAGGTATGTTCCACCTCAGTGACAGGGCTGCAGCTGAACACTTTAAAAAGGGTCTTATTTGGGGCAGGACCAGCAAAACCATCCTTATCAGAATGAAAACTTTAATTTTCTTGTCATCTGTATAAGTTTAGCTGTTTTTCAGTCCAGGTCTATAAAGACAGTGAGCAGAATTACCATTTATAAATCAGTTTCCCAGCCTTATCTCTTCTCTCAGCAGGGATTCACATCTTGGGAAGCTAGTAGCTCGACAGCAGCAGCAGTTATCTCTATTTCAGAACTGATTAGGCCTGTTGAATTTGGAAACTTACATTTATTCAATTACCCTTTCCTCAAGAAAGAACAATACAATTTCTAGGAGATTTCCTTTGAAGGTTGCCTTGCTGTTTCACAATTTGGATTCAGAGACACTGCAGGACCTTTCTGCATTGGGCAGGAAACAAGGAACAATGAATGAATAATGTTTATAATAAGCAACCTTTTAAATGGATGTCTTCAGATTTGCCCTGGCAGTCACAGTCTTTTCCAAACTATCAGCAGAGTGATCCAATAAAAGACATCCCATCACTTAAGAGGGCATATTTAGAAAGAAGAGATGGATTAGTACTCACTGCTGCAGACATCCCCAGCTTGGAAGAACTCTGTAGTTAATAGCACTAACCCATAATATGAAAAAGCATTGGAAAACCTGCAAGGAAGAAAATGATAGAGGAAATTCTCAGCTGATCAAACCTACCATAAATAACATGGATTAAAACTGAACCCACTGTCTTAGGAAATGCTACCTCAAAGCTATTTCCTATCAGCATTTAGAAAATGAAAAGGCAATTGGACTTAAAACATTAGTGATTAGGTGGTTTAATAAATTACAAATCAATACTTTTTTCTTTTTTCTTTTTTTTTTTTTTGAAGAGGAGGAGGAGGAAGTTACTGTATTAGAGTGATACTGTAAAGCAGCTCCATTAAAAGCCATTTAGAACTGTGCTGGCAATGAGCCATTTATATCTTTTCTTACCATATAAACCAGAGTAACAATGTGGTCCATCTAAAATGGGGTGTAAAAAGGTCCCTCATTTTCCCTCGGTCCTCCTGTTGGAAAAAAAGTGAAATCAGATCAGGGCACGGACTTGTCCTCATCAGGCTTGCATGGGATAAAACAAAATACAGGGCAACCTACTCCTTCACAAGGAGGGTGAGAATGTGTCAAAATGGGGTTTTGACGAATTAGATGGTTTAAGTACATATGATAATCTATCCATTTTATTATTGGTTGAAACATTAAACTTGATGTTGATTTCTTTATAAATATGTACATATATATGAATGCAGAAACGTTTCCATTATATCCCACATTATTAATATGTCTGTTACCTGTACATACCTGTCTAGAAATAATTAATTTTCCCAAAGGCATTGGAGCTCCATTTTCTGTTGCTATCCGTTTTAAAGTGGCAATAGCTTTTTCTTGATTTCCAGATAACACGTCATACCTGGAGCTTTCCGGCAGCCACTACGAGTGGAAGCAGATGAGATGCAGAGCGATGTCAAAAGCACAGCAATAAACAAGCTGGGGCCTTTCCTTGTGGGCTTACAGAGGGTAATCTCATTGACTCCAGCAGACACTCGAGAAAGGATTGCACAACCAATCCTAATTGATTTACAGAACTGTCCTTCTGCCAACTGTCAAAATTATGTTTTAAGAAACTGCAACTTTCACCATAAAGGTGGAACTCCAGTTCAAAATCTTCCCCTTCTCTTTTCTCATTTTTATTCCTGAGGGGTTTGGCTAGCCTTTTTTTTTTCATATTCGTGAAATTATACCTTCTCAGGGGGAATGCAAAATATTTAGGGCAGATAAAATGTGCATTTTTAAGCTCTTTTCAAAAGCAAGCAAGTTAACATGTGTATAACTGTTTGGAGGTATTCCTGAAAAACAATGACAGTGGCTAGGGAACAGTAAGAACAGCTGAACACCTCGGTAGAGAAATGGTTGTACATTCATCTCCAAAGAATACCTACAAAACATAGGACAGCAAAGAGCAAAAGTGGGAGGGCAGAGAGAATGAGAAGCCATCGCCAGCCAAGAGTGGGCATCACCAACACTGCTAGGAGGACTTCAAACACAGTCCCAAGGGCCCAGAACACCTGCCAAAGAGAAAAGAAACAGTCACAAATGGGAGTAAGACTGCAGGGCTGCATGAGTCACTGCAGCACGGAGCTGGAAGGAGAAAAGGCAAAGCTATAAATGACTCCTTCTTTGTGGCATTTCAAAACGTGTTCTCCAGGGACAGACAGAGAGAGGAACACCAGAGATATTTCAAATACATCTCTGGCGTATGTGTTAAAGGCACCACTGTGTGCAAACAGAAAGCCAGACACTTTAGAAAGGTTTGTTCTCACATGGCAGGAGCTCCGTTTTGAAAACCTAGTGTCTCTAAATGCTCATGTTTAGCAGGAGCTCCGTTTTGAAAACCTAGTGTTGACTGTCTCTAAACACTCATGTTTAACTGTAAGGAGCTTCTCATAAGGAATAGACCCATCACAGGGTTTTCTTAAGCAAAATGACCATTAAAATCTGTCTATGGCTGTAATTCCCAGGTATTGTGGCAAGATTTGGATAAGCAAGATCTGCTTGTAGTTGGGTGTGAGATTTCTACAGCCAGTGGGATTGAATGGATGTAACCAAAAGCAGAATTTGGCCCTCTAGGGACCAGTACACACAACTACAATGCTCACCTCTATTAATAAAATGCATTTTGCTCTGGCTTTCATTGGAAGGAATTCAGCATATAAGGTTACCCTATAAAGAGTAAAGATTGAGAAAAATGTCATGTTAGTACACTGAAAGATGTTCAGACATTTGTTCTGCTTTTTACTAAAATTGCCAAACCCAGAGTAGCAACACAAAACCCTTCCTAGTCCTCCCAGCCAGCACGACTGGACGCAGGTTCAGACTCCCCTTTCTACATCAGAACAATCCCCTTTAGTTCATCATTGCAATGGAGGAGAGAATTTGCTCCCTCCTTGTGACTTCACCTCACACAACATTATATTAAATCAGTGATTAAGAGGAGAATGAAGTAGAATCACATGCCATGAATTCCTTATACACTGCAGCAGAAAAAAGCACAGGGCAATGAATGCTGCATAGAACTGGGTTTTGTTTGTTTTTAAGAGAATGCTCCTATCTTTGCAAGTACGGATGTTCGTACTGTAAATATTCCTATTCAGTGTTACATAAGATCTCACAGAAGATTCCCACTGGAGGCAAACAAGCAGCTTCCCAGGTGCAGCTCCTACGTGGGCAAATAAAGGGATATCTGCTGTAGTTAGTTAATCTGTTATTGTTAGGTACATCCTTTTTAACAGTATCTTTCATAATATCACTGGGGCTCTGTGCAACAGCACTGCAATGTGCTTGCAGCACGAGGCTTTACCAGCTTTGACACCTTGTTGTTCTGCTTCACTCCAGTCGTGCTCACTTGGAATTGCATGCCAGAAACTGCCTCATCACCAGTCAGTGTAAAACAGACTGAGGACTCCCCTATTTTACATATGCTTTGTTCTTTCATGCAGCTCCTAAAGCGGGGCAGGAAAGCAATAAGAGAAAATTAATAATTTTGTGATGCTCCATCTGAGCTCTGGATCTTTTATCTGGATTACTGGGAATGGCAACAGAAAAGACAGGATATTGCTTTGATTTGTGAAGAAGTCTAGAAGTCATCAATCAAAGTCAGGCTCTGATTACTCTGAAATAGCACCTCCATGGGGCAAAATGTCAAATATTAATAAGAATAAAAGACTACATGGAGAGACAAAAATCTCCTTTTCCATTTATAATTAAAGGCTTGGGGTAGAGCTATTTATTGCAACTGGAAAATTTATAGATCCTCCTCTTCAGCAAATGCAATAATGCAGTGACAGAAGAATAACCTGATGCTCCATTCGCATTAGGGATGTGTCTGAGCCACCAAGATAATCTCAAGAGTTCCAGGCTTGAGCTCTTTGGTTTTGGAATTCCAGTTCATAAGTGAACACTCAAGCTCTGATTGAACAATAATGCAAAGTTTTACAAAGTGCCAGGAGTCCTGGCTCTGCTGTACCTCTGACAGCTGGTATTCAGGTCATCATCTACCCTGCAGCAAGTCCACAGCATCCCTTGCTACCTCTCCTGATCAACAGAGATTTGAATTCTCTCACTGGTTCAAAGTCTTCTCAGAGTTTAATAAACTAGTTCCAAAATATTTAGTGAAAAATAGGTACAGGGGCATCTCTAAGTAGAGGGACATCTTCCATTTGATACAAGGATTTTTTGAAAATGAGACAAAAAAGGTGAAAAAGAGAAAGTTTGGACTTGTGAATATTTACTTACGACTGAGGCACTCCTCCAATGCCAAAGCCCACCAGGCCCCTCAGCACCAAGATCCAGCTGTACACGGGGGCAAAGCCACTGAGGATCCCATAGTAGAGCGTCCACAACACACTGATCTTCAGCCCCTGTGTTTGACAGACAAGCAGAGGGAAAGGAAAGTCTCTACGGTATGGCAAATTCACCACACACAAACTAGAGTTTCAAACCAGAAAGTGCAGAAAATCCTCTAGGATGCTATTTCTGTGAGCCCAACAGTTTCCCAAGGAATGTTGGAAGTGGCAGTGGAGGTCCCAGAACAACTATGTGACGTGGCAGTGGGTGATGCACGTGGGTGCCCCTGCACACAGTGCATCCACATGGGGACACAGCCCACGCAAGGGACTGGCTGCATCGCACCCAGACTCTCAGAGAATTTTGCAACAAAACCACTCCACTTTGCAATACAACCAAGCCATTGCTTATTTTAGCCTTGATTTTTCTCACTTCTGATTTTCTGCTACTTCTCCCAAACTTCTGTCTTTTTGTTTCACAAAGCATCAATTCTGGGTCTGCTCCTTATTTTAGCCTTGATTTTTCTCACTTTTGATTTTCTTCTCCCAAATTTCTGTCTTTTTGTTTCACAAAGCATTAATTCTGGGTCTGTTTAACTCTACTTTGTGCATGTGGACTGTGGCATTTGCGAATATCATGCACTGAAACATGCACAGTGCAGCAATCCTGGAATCTACTTCAGTAAGACTCGGAGACTTACTGTTTTTCTCCCATATTGATCTGAAATGTTTCCCCAGAGAGTAGAACTGGACATCATTCCCACAAACACCACCTATGAAACACCAGAAAAAACCTTCCCCTTAACAAGACGACAAGATAAATTTTCTACAGGACAGCAAAGAGACACAACTTTACAATGAAAATAGGAAATTTAAGCATTAGCAATACAACAAAATGTTCAGATGTTTTATGTCCATTCCTTTGCAGTAGAGACTAGCAAAGATGATAATTCATATAATGGGATTTTCCCAAAGTCACTCAGCCTATCTTCACTTCTATTAACTTGCAAGGGAGTTTGCTATTGCTCAGGCAGGAGGATGAGTTTTAGTGGAGCTTTCAAACAAACATCCCTCAACATTTTCCAGTGATGGCCCCATTTTCAATTGTTGCTTTGCTTCAGCTGAGTCAGGAACCCAAACACAACATAAATATACTGAATGCCTGCTGGGCTACTTGTCATCATGTCACCCTTACCTAAGTTCTCAGTTGTTAACGTGGGAGCTGTTGAATTAGACCAGGGCTGAATATTTTCAGACTTTTGACAAATGGAAAGAAAATTAATTACTAAAATGACTGAATGACTTGCGAGAAGAATTTGCTGCTAAATGGAAATCTTGTCTTGTTTTCTTTCTTTCTTTCTTTATTTTTTTTTCCTGAAGGGTTTTAATATCCCACAAAAAAATGTTTTCATCTGCTTCACAGCAAGGCCCCATGAAGAGTTTCATTAGCATTACTGAGGGGACAGACAACCATGCTATGGAGACAGGAAAAAGTGCCAGGGCTGGAGATAGGAAGCAATGAGGCACCCCTTAAGTTGTCCTTGCAATTAAAAGACCCATTCAGTGAAAAGCCAGTTTGAATGTGCACTCTGGTGTTATGCACATTGTGAGGTTATCCTGCAAGGTGCTAAGGCCCCCAGCTTCACTGAGCCTCCTCGTGATTAAATGCTGATTTGTGCTGCTTAAGGTTTTTGCAGGACAGAGCCATGCTAGTGCTGATGCAGCGTGTCTCAGCCAGCTCACCCCCAGGCTCCTATTGTCAGTCTCACCAGATGTTTGTCTGTGATCTGAACAGAGATAAAATGATCTTACAACCTTAGGAAAATATGAAAAAAAAGACTGAGGTGTCAAAGACAACACATGTCCTCTACAGCAGTGACACCAAAAGGTCTGGTTTATTCTGCAGACGGATGGAGGAGAGAAATCCTGCCTAGTGAAATTAATGGCAAGAAGCCCCCATATGTTTCCCCTATCAGTGCATTAAAAGCATAGGAAATTAGTTTGAGAAAGAACTGCAAATTCAAGCAGTAAGTGGGGTAGGAAACAGTGTCTGTTTGTCAAATCATTGTTTGAATGATCACCTTTCTCTTACATACTTTGGCTCTTCCTTTCTGACTTTGGTCACAAAAAACAAAGTTGTGCTGAGCTGAAACAGCAAACAGGACTCACCTTCAAACGGGCTAGCTGCATTCAGGTATGGGGAAGGATATAATTTGTCAGTGATTCAAATCTACTGAGCATTTTGACCAATTAACATAATAATACAACTGGCATCACAAACTACAGGAAAAAGAAATGTTTTATGCGTTGAAGTACCTGCCACACAACAGCACCGTATACTGAGGGAATGTGCCCAAAACTCTTGTTCTTGTCTCTAAAGGCTCAGCAGGCTCCAACGTCACAGCACTGTTCCTACCAGGAGTATTATGAGAGCTCTGCTTGCAAAGGTCATTGGACCATCTACCTCAAAAAGCAATTGCCTACTCTCTCTCATGGCTCCCAATCTGCCTACATGAGAGCGAGCTTAAATGCAGTGAAAGAGAAACATTTTCAAAACACATGGCCAAAATTTATCAACCATTTTTTTCACTGATCAAATGGATCGAATTTTGAGTCTGGGTCAATTTCCTGGAAATTACATGAAAGGTGGAGCCTGAAACTTGGAAAATCTCCTAAGTTCTCCCTTAGTTTCATTTCTTCAAGACTTTTAAAAAAGGCTCCTATATTATTTTGAGCCAAAGGCGATCTGCAAAGGCCGTGAAGAGATTTAACCTTGGAATATAAAGCATAATTTCTGAATAGCAATGAGTGGAAAAACCTTACAGAACACAGGAGCTGCCAGTTATTTTTCCTACCGATGTGAGCAATGCAACCTGCCAGCTTGGTAATCGCCACTCACAATGAAGCTGAGGAGCTAGGATACTTAGAATCATCATTTCCATAGCATCTGCCATCTAGAAGGGTAAAAAAGAAACAAAAATAAACAACTGCCTGAAAATTAGATTGACATAATTTTGAAATTACCCTTGTTACACGCCAGACACTCTTATCCCACAACTGCCTGAAAATTAGATTGACATAGCAGTCAATAACACATCTTGAAATTACCCTTGTTATACTCCAGACACTGTTATCCTAAAATATACTTCAGCAGACACAGCATTTAATGCTTTAGAAATAATCCAAAAGAGAAAATAAAGTCCATTTTCTTTTCCTGGTACCAAGGCTAAAACTAGAAGTAACAGGTATATTGCCTAACATAGAAAGCAGAGAACTTAACCAATGTGATCAATGTGGTAAAATGAGCTTATGAAAAACAAGATCTGCTCCTGTAGGAGTAGCCTAATACCCCTTCCATTTGAAACAGAAATCTCTATATAGAATTGAGAATCCCTTTTTTTTTTCAGAAAATTTACAAGGATTTCAGAGAAACCAGTTATTCATTACCCCCACAAAGCAACTTTGAGTCCAGCTGTCATTTTAGGATTTCAAGTAAAAATCCTGTAAATTGGTCTATTTGAGGACTTTTTATCTGCAGAGAATGGCTACATTACTTGAAATCATTGGGATTCCCTAACTGATGATCATGGAATTGAGTTTGACAACAATTACTTGCCCATGCTAATCCAGTAATAACAGAGAGTTTCCACTGGAACTTTCCAAATCCAATGGCTTCCACCGCATCTTCCACCATAAAAGTATCTAGAAAGAAAACAATTCTAGTGCAAAAGTGTATTCCTTTCCTAGTAAAAGGCATACCTTGAGACACTATTTGCTATGAATGCATTTACTTATTAAGTGGGTAACCTACTTAGATGTAAAATAAATAACTGGGATATCTACTCAGCTTTTATATACTTCCTACTCAGGCAAATCTCCTTGTTTTTTAATTGTGCTAAAGACAAAATAATTCTAAATATGGAAATCCAAATGCAAAATGAAAAATTCAACAAAAGGACATGTTTATTCATCTTACCAAATTTTATTATGGCTTGACTAAGACAAAAATACCTGATACCTTTTAAATTGGTGCTGTCTTCAGGGCAGCCAGCACTTCCCTCCTAATCAGAAGGCAAAGCCTGGATGCTCATTCCTTCTCTCCCTCCTGTCCTCTAGGCAAGTGGGAGACAGGAACACTGCAGAGGCTCCATGTGCTCAGCCTTGAAGGTGAATCACGTGTAACTGCTCCAGGAAACTTGGCAATGTTTTAGAAGCACTGATTGGATCTGAAGGAACCTAAACCTCCTATGTGAAAGAGGTGATGACAACTGGATACACAACTCCTTAAAAGGGTCTGGTCCTGATAACATCAGAACAAGCACAGAAAGCAACCCGCAGAGGACAATGCAGGTAAATCGTGCTTTTCCGGTATAACATAATATGCCTGTGTTAGAGATTCTTTCTTTGATCTTCCCAGATCTTTTACTTCTCCAAAGCCAATGTATTCCACTTGGCTGATACATGACTGGGATGAAGAGACCACATGTTTTGATTTAGGGCAAAACCAGAACCAGCAGAACCCTGCTCACCATCAGTTGGGTTGGCAAACTCCTTCGGCACCGCAGCCCCATCCTCGAGCTCGACAGCCTCTAGTTCTGTGCGAACACCTTCAATCTGCACTTCGTGTTCTCCGGAAATCGCATCCTCGTCTGACCTTGAACTCTCCCCAGTGCGGCGAAACTTGACCACCCTACGAACACAGAAACAACATTTAATATAGTGCTGTGTCCCTTCCAGGGACATATTTTCTTCTGAAACCATATTGATGTCTAATAGTGAGGTTCCTCTGCGCAGCCCACTCTATTTCACATTCAGAAGAATGCTTCTGCAGGGACCTTTTGGTTGCTACTGGCTTTGGCCACACTGGCAGGTCCATTGCTACATGGTGTGTGCAAGCAGGATGTCATCCATACGTATTCCTCAAATAGTCTCTATGGAGCCATTGCTGTGGTAACCATACCCTTCTGCAGAGCTTAAAAAC